TCCTGTTTACAAGAGACCCACCTCAAAACAAAAGACACACACACAGGATGAGAGTGAAGGGATGCAAAATAATTTTCCATGCAAATGGAAAAAAAAAATAGCTGGAGTAGCAATACTCATATCTGACAAAATAGACTTTAAAATGAAGGCCATTACAAGAGACAACAAAGGTGACTACATAATACTAAAGGGATTGATCTAACAAGAGAATATAACCCTGGTAAACATTTATGCACCCAGTATAGGAGCACCTAAATATATAAAAAAACTTCTAGAGGACTTTAACAGAGAGATCGACAACAATACAGTCATAGTAGGGAATTTTAACACCCCTCTGACTTCACTGGATAGATCTTCCAGACAAAAACTTATCAAGGAAACAAAGACTCTAAAAGGACACACTGGGCAGAGCCTGCGAGGTTCACTGGTTGAGCGTCGACCTATGAACCAGGAGGTCATGATTCGATTCCAGGTCAGGGCACATGCCCAGTTGTGGGCTCGATCCCCAGTGGGGGGCATGTAGGAGGCAGCAGATCAATGTTTCTGTCTCATCATTGATGTTTTTATCTCTCTCTCCCTCTCCCTTTCTCTCTGAAATCAATAAAAATATATTTTAAAAATAAATAAATAAATAAGTAAGTAAATAATAAAAATTAAATCAGATGGATTTAACTGACATTTGTAGAACATTTCACCCCAAGGCAGCAGAATATACATTCTTCTCAAGTGCACATGGATCATTTACAAAGATAAACCACATGTTAGGACACAAAACAAGTCTCCACAAGTTCAAGATTTAAATCATATCAAGCATCTTCTCAGATCACAGTGGAAAGAAATTAGAAATCAACCACAGTAAAAACACCCCAAAACATTCAAACACATGGAGGCTAAATAGCATGCTATTAAACAATGAATGAATTACCAATGAAATCAAGAAAGAAATCAAAAACTTCCTGGAAACAAATGAAAATGAATACACAACAACCCAAAATCTCTGAGACACAGCAAAAGCAGTCCTGAGAGGGAAGTTCATAGCACTACAAGCATACCTCAAAAAAACAAGAAAAATCAGCAATGAACTATTTAACCCTACAACTTAAAGAACTATAAAGAGAATAACAAGAAAAACCCAAAGTAAGTAGAAGGAAGAAAATAATAAAGATTAGAGCAGAAATAAATACCATAGAGACTAAAAAATAATACAAAAACTTGAAGAAACCAACAGCTGGTTCTTTGAGAGAATAAACAAAATTGATATACCATTAGTCAGACTCATCAAGAAACAAAGAGAGAGGACTCCAATAAATAAAATCAGAAATGAAAGTGGAGGAGTAAACACTGACACCACAGAAATACAAAGGATTGTAAGAAAATACTATGAACAACTATATACCAACAAGCTGGACAATATGGATGAAATAGACAAATTCCTAAAAAAATATAATCTCTCAAAACTGAATCAGGAAGAAAAAAAACCTGAATAGGCCAACAACAACTGATGAAATAGAAGCAGTAATCAAAAAACTCCCACCAAACAAAAGCCCAGGTCCAGAGAGCTTCACAGGGGAGTTTTACCGAACATTCACAGAATAACTAACACCTATACTCCTCAAACTATTTCAGAAAATCCAAGAGGAAGGAACACTTCCAAACTCTTTATGAGGCCAACATTATCCTAATTCCAAAACCAGATAAAGACACTACAAAGAAAGAGAATCACAGGTCAATATTCCTAATGAACATAGATGCTAAAATCCTCAACAAAATATTAGCAAATCGCATCCAGCAATATATTAAAAAGATCATACACCATGATCAACTGTATTTATTTCAGGGATGCAAGGCTGGTACAATATTCGCAAATCAAATCACATAAACAAATTGAAAGACAAGAATCACATGATCATATCAATAGACACAGAAAAAGCATTCAACAAAATCTAACACCCATTTTTGATAAAACCTCTCAGCAAAGTGGGAATAGAGGGAGCATATCTCAACATGATAAAGGCCATTTTTGACACACCTACAGCCAACACCACACTCAATGGGCAAAAACTAAAACCACTTCCCCTAAGAACAGGGACAAGACAGGGATACCCACTTTTACCACTCCTGTTCAACACAGTACTGGAAATGCTAGCCATAGCGATAAAACAAGACGAAGAAGAAATAAAAGGCATCCAAATTGGAAAAGAAGAAGTAAAACTGTCATTATTTACAGATGACATGACATTGTATATAGAAAACCCCAAAGACTCCATCAAAAAACTACTAGACTTAATACATGAATTCAGCAATGTAGCAGGATACATTTAAGGAGGTAAAAGACCTGTACTCAGAAAACTACAGGACACTGAAAAAAGAAATAGAGGAAGACATAAACAAATGGAGGAACAAACCATGTTCATGGATTGGTAGAATTAACATCATCAAAATGTCCATACTACCCAAAGCAATTTATAGATTCAATGCAATCCCCATTAAGATACAAATGGAATATTTCACAGACCTAGAACAAACTCTCCAAAAATTCATATGGAATAAAAAAAGGCCCCAAATAGCCCCATCAATCCTGAGAAAGAAGAACAAAGTAGGAGGGATCGCAATACCAGATATCAAGCTATATTACAAAGCCACTGTTCTTAAAACTGCCTGGTACTGGCACAAGAACAAACATATACGCCAATGGAATAGAACAGAGAACCCATAAATCGACCCAAGCCATTATGCTCAATTAATATTTGACAAAGGAGGCAAGAACATACAATGGAGTCAAGATAGTCTCTTTAATAAATGGTGTTGGGAAATTGGACAGATACATGCAAAAAAATGAAACTAGACCACCAACTTACACTATTCACAAAAATAAACTCAAAATGAATAAAGGACTTAAACGTAAGACAGGAAACCATAAAAATCTTAGAAGAATGCATAGGCAGCAAAATATCAGACATGTATCATAGCAATATCTTAACCAATAAAGCTCCTAAGGCAATGGAAACTAAGGAGAAAATAAACAAATAAGACTACATCAAAATAAAAAGCTTCTGCAGAGCAAAAGAAACCATCAACAAAACAACAAGAAAGCCCACTGCATGGGAGAACATAGTTGCCAATATTATCTCTGATAAGGGTTTAATCTCCAAAATTTACAAGGAACTCATACAACTTAACTAAAGGAAGATTAAATACTCCAATCAAAAAATGGGCAAAGGACCTAAATAGACACTTTTCAAAAGAAGACATACAGAAGGCCGAGACATATGAAAACATTCTCAACGTCACTAATCATCTAAGAGAGGCAAATCAAAACGACAATGAGGTACCATCTCACACCTGTCGGAATGGCCATCATCAACAAATCAACAAACAATAAGTGCTAGCCAGGATGTGGAGAAAAAGGAACCTTCTTGCACTGCTGGTGGGAATGCAGATTGGTGCAACTATTGTGGAAAACAATTTGGAATTTCCTCAAAAAATTAAAAATGGAACTCCCATTTGACCCAGTAATCCCACTTCTAGGAATATATCCCACGTATTCAGAAACACCAACCAGAAAGTATATATGCACCCCTATGTTCATAGCAGCACAATTCACAGTAGCTAAGATTTGGAAACAGCCTAAGGGCCCATCAACAGATGAATGGATTAGAAAACTATGGTACATCTACACAATGGAATACTATGCTGTTGTAAAAAAGAAGGAACTCTTACCATTTGCAACAGCATGGATGGACCTGGAGAGCATATGCTAAGCGAAATAAGCCAGTCGGAAAAAGATAAATATCACATGGTCTCACTCATTTGTGGAATATAATGAACAACATAAACTGATGAACAAAAATAGAGCCAGAGGAAAAAAAAATATTTTAGAATATAATAGAAGTAATCCTGTTACTTGCAGGTTTTTAGTATTTCCTACAACTTTTGTATAATTACTATGTTAGTACAGTTTTGGTAATACGGTACTACTTTGAGTAATTAGGAGTAGGCGCGCTCCTAAACATTTCATGAGATTTCTGTTTGACATCATTTTTTCTGGGCAGCCCAGACTTACTTCCCTGCTGCCACAGATTGCTCCCACCAGCATGGAACACTGTGCTGACAAGCCAGGGCAGAGGTCTTGTCTCTGCAGCTGAACTTCATATCCTCAGCCACCAGAAGAGAGCCAACCAGTCACAGAAAGTGCTTTAAAATATTTGCTGAATACATTAATGAACCCATACATGGGGCTTTATATTATCAAAGCAGAGCAATGTGAAATGCACACTTTGGACTCAAACGTACATTCGAATCCCAACCCTGACACTCACTAGCTGGGTGGACCTTCCAAATCACTTTCCCTCTCAGAGCTTCAGTTCCCCTATCTATAAAAATCCCCACCTACCTTCCAGGTTTTTCTTAGAAATAAAATTCATAATAGATGACAAAAAAAATCAGATTATAAGAAACATTACTAGAAGAGTCAACTGAGAGAATGGTCCTCAAACGATTTGGTCTTGGGACCCCTTTACATTCTTATATATTACCGAGAACTCAAAAACCTTAAGTTTACATAGATTATATCTGTTGATATTTGCTCTATTAGCAATTAAAACCGAGCAATTTTTAAATGTTTACTCACTTAAAAATAAATCTATTTAACATACATATTTTTATGAAAAATATACTCTCCAAAAAAGTAGTAAGAAGAGTTTTCACTTTTACAAGTCTATATATATATATAATTTTTTTTAATTGACTTCAGAGAGGAAGAGAGAGGGAGAGAGAGATAGAAACATCAATGATGAGAGAGAATCATTAATCGGCTACCTCCTGCACGCCCCCTACTGAGGTCAAATCTGCAAACCCAGCCATGTGCCCTGACCAGGAATCAAACCTTGACCTGGTTCATAGGTAGATGCTCAACCATTAAGCCATACCAGCCAGGCTTACAAGACTTTTTAATGCTCCCTCAATGATAGGTGGATCCCCATGTCTGTTTCTGAACTCACCCAGTTGCAACATGCTGTTTGTGAGTGAAATACATGAAGATAATGCAGCCTCACAGTTTGGTGCCACCACCGCCATGATTCCTGCTAAGACCTCATTGCTGTTGTATGATTAGTGCAAATGGGAAGCAAGTCACAAAGCCAGTCTTAGTATCGCTGTGAAAATGCCTTCCTTGCAGAGCCCTAAAGTGTGTGGGACGCCCAGGGGTCCCCGAAGCACACTTTGAGAACCACCGTGGTAGACAGAGCAACAGTAAGAGGGAAAGCTCAGGAAGCACTGAGACCTACAGCGGGAGAGGGGAGGTAGTCTCTCCGCATGGGGACAGCAAGGCCGGGGACACAGAAACACTGTGGCATCTGACCACAAGGGACTCTTGAGAAGAGAGCTGGGCAAGGCCACAGCAGTTAGGACCCCTGAGGCCCCTGGATTTCAAGGTCAAGGGGTGGAGGAATCCATTCAAGAGTTTTAACCAGGAAGTGTGCCCCTGATTTACATTTAAGGGGACCCTGAGGCTGACAGGACAGAGGAGCAAAGACCAATTAAGGCTCCTACAGAAGTGCACGTGAGGGACATATGACTGCCAGGTGGCAAGCATAGGGGCCGGGGAAATACACATTTGCGGTGAAGCCACAGACCTGCCAGGCCTCCACAGCCAGGTGGGCAGGGCCAGGCGCTGTGGAAAACCGGGTGACCGCCTATGCCACATGGTAGGACAGGAGGGTCCTTCTGTGTCCTGAGCCTTCTTCCAGGTGACCCAGATAGTGCGCCTGATGCGATTTCTGGCGGGAGGCATATTAACAAGATAAGGTAAATGAACAGCCACCACCCACCACCAATGACAAGTGGGGTGACTATGACCCAGGTACGGCTGTGCACATGGTCAGTGGCCCACGCTCGAGGCCACATGAAGGGTCAGTCCTGGTTGGAATGCCTGCACCCTGGCCCTTCACAGCGTGTCCCTAACTCCCCTATCTGCACTGCACCCCCTTCCCTGAGGGCCTCAGGGAGAGCATGGGCTAGGTGCGCGTCAGCCCCCACCTGCGCCTGTGCTCCGGGAGCCTGAGCATCCCTCCTGCAGGACAGGGGCACAGAGTCCACAACCGGGCTCCGCCTATGCCCTGGCGCGTCGGTCTCAGGACTGCACGTCCCAGAGGCGGGGAGCCTGGTGCGGCCCTGTGGCCTGGGGAGACCAAGGGCCGCGGCTGTCACCCCGGCTCCCCGCCCCGCCAGCCCGCCAGCCGCGCGGGCACCAGCACCCACAGGCCTCCACAGTCCGGCGGCGGGCAGGGCGGGGCGCGATCCCCGCTGACGGGCGGGTGGAGGGCGCCGGCCGGGCGGGAGGGGGAAGGAGGAGGAGGGTGAAGAAAGGTGGAGGGTGGAGGGTACAGGGTGGAGGGAGGAGTGAGGATGGAGAGGGGTGGGGGAGGAGGGCGGAGGAGGGAAGTGGGAGGGGGAGGAGAGAAGAGGGAGGAGGAGGAGGGAGGAGGAGGGCGGCGTGCACCTCGCCCCCGGCCCGCCGCCGCCGCCGGCCCAGGAAAGTAGGCCCAGCCGGCGGAGGGCCGCGCCGTATCATTCCGCCCGCGCCTGCGGCCGGCAGTCGGGCGGCGGCGGCTGTGGCAGGACGGTCGGACGCAGCGGCGTCCTCGGCCCTCCCGGCCCCGGCCCGCCCGACCCCTCGCCGCCCCGCCTGGCCCGGCCGTTCCTGGAGCCCCACGCGCCGCATCCGGGGACTATATTCGCGCGGAGCGGCACAGCGGCGGCCGGCCGGGGCCGCTTACCGGTGTCGCCGCGCGCCTTGCTCTCCTTGGGCTTCGGGGGGCGGCCCCGCGGCATCGTAGGCGGCGGCGGCGGCCCACCCCTCGGCCGCACACACACTCACACACATACGCTCGGCGGAGCGCGCACGCGCGGGGACAGGCCGCGGGGACGCGGCGCGCGCCCGGCGGAGCGTGGAGGCGGGCGAAGCAGCCCAGGCGGCCGCCGAGCCCCGGCCGAGCGCGCGCCGGCCCACGGGGGGAAGGCGCCCGAGAAGGCGAACGGCAGCGCTAGGACCGCGCCCACCGCGGCGGGTTCCATGGCCCGGCGGGCCGTGTTGGGGGCGTTGGGAGCCGGCGCGCGGTGGGGGCGGGGAGGGGCGCCGTGCGCATGCGCGCTCCGCGTTCGGGCCTGGTGCGTCGGAGGGCGAGCGGCGTCACCTGGGAGCCCGGGCCCCGACGGCCGGCCGCACTTGGGACACCCGGCGTGTGGCCGGAAGACTCCCCCGCTGGGACAGCCTTCGGGGCTGTGAGGAGGAAAGTTCTCTGTGGGCAGCGGGGGCTGAGAAAGCTTCCCAGGTGGGTGACCGGGGTAAAAGGGAAAACCCCACCGAGGAAGGGCCCTTGTGCCGGTACCTTGCGGAGTCAGGAAAGCCTTGGGGAGCCCGGAGCCCAGACCCGGGACCTGACCGAGGACACGCACCCAGGCCGCCGTGTGCCGCCCTCCCACGGAGTACAGGAAAGCCACATGGTTCCACATGTGGTGATCTTTCTTTATGGACCATTCTAACTCCCACAACATTCTCACGGAAACGGGACGGCAAGCGCCCGGAGGTGAAGCAGCTGCGCTGTGGAGGGAGTGATGATTGGCTCAAGCCCCAAGCAAGGAGTCACCTAGTCTCTGAAGAAGGAACTCAAGGCACTAAGTAATGATCAACCACATGCAAGATATGAGGGAATACAAACCTAATGTTACAAAACTTGGAACCATGAGGCAGGAAAGACACAAAACTAGTCAACATATTATAATGGAGGTTTAAATAATCCACGGAGAACCTTGAGATAACGCAAGAACGGTTGGAAAAATAGGAAAGAATCTCAACTCAATCTTAGTAAACGGTTGGTAAGAAAGGACTTTCCAGGTGGAGGCAACAGGTAAAGGGGGGAAGCTAAAATTAACTAAAAATCTCTCACGTGAGGTGCTTTATATCTTCAATTATGTTTTCATGTATTCACCCAATTCCTGAAAAAAACTAGGCAGATAATCATAATAAGAAACAAGCTCAGAGAGCTTTTCTAACATCAGCCAGCCAGTGAATGGCTAATGGGATTTCAGAATTATTAACTGCTGCTTTTAAATACTTCTTACATAAAATACTTCTAATCCTTGCAACGATCCTGTAAGTACCATTTTACAGATGATACTGAGGTTCAAAGGATTTAATTTGGTTCAGGCTACATAAACTGTAGGCAAATCCAAGTCTCAAATTTTAACTGACAATCCTATATAACTAGTTGTATCAAAGCAGAAATCTACGTAAGTTTAGATACAATATGACAGTATTTCCATATGCATATTAGAGTAGGATTGGGATATAAGGCTAAGAAAATAGGTTGGAGGCAGATCTTAAGAATCCTTGGCCACTTACAAATCAGTTTGGATTATGATGGTTTGTTTATAAATGTACACCCTAATTTGTTTTGAAAGTAATTTGAAGCAATTTGTACATGTGGATGAAGGGAAAAAGTAAAGAATCAAAAGTAAAGAATAAAGTCCTATGTAGTTATAAAAGGTGAATAGGAAATGGATCTCCAGACTTCTTGCCCCAAATAAAGAAGTAGACATGATCAGTTACCAGATTCTCATCCTTAAAAGATATCTGTATCCCTATCACCATATCCCTGTTGTTTCTTTTACCATTCATACACATAGCAACTATATCATCAGCGGACAATTTTACTTCCCTTCTGATATGAATGCCTTTTATTTCATTTTCCTGCCTAATTGCTCTGGCTAGGACTTCCACTGCAATGTCGACTAGGAGTGGTGAGAGTGGGCACCCTTGTCTTGTTCCTGATGTTGGCAAGAAAGCTTTGAACATTTCACCATTGAGTATGGTGTTAGCTGTGGGTTTGTCATATGCGGCCTTTATTATGTTGAGACATTTTTATATATCAAATTGCTTGAGTTTTTCTCTTGAAAGGATGTTGAATTTTGTCAAATGATTTTCCTGCATCTATGTAAATGAAAATATCCCTATCTTTCATTCTATTAATGTAGCATATCACATTTATTGATTTGCATTGCTTTCCATGGGTAAATTACCCTTGGTCATGGTGTATGAACCTTTCGAGGTGCTGGTGAATTCATTTTGCTAGTATTTAAAAAAACAAAAAAAAAAACATATAAATGTATATATTCATCAAGAATAATGTCCTATAGTTTTCTTTTAGTGTCCTTATCTGGATTTGGTGTCAGGGTAATTCAGGCCTCCCAAAATGAGTTTGTAAGTATTCCCTCGCTTCAATTTTTTGGAAGACTTTGAGAAACAGACTGGTGTTAATTCTTCTTTAAATGTTTGATAGAATTCACTGGTGAAACCATCTGGTCCTAGGCTTTTCTTTGGTGGGAGGTCCTTTATTTTTTCAATCTCTTTATTCATTATTGGTCTGTTCAAATTTTCTATTTTTTCATGATTCAGTCTTGGTAAGGTGTATGTAGGTTGGTTTCCTAGACTTACCCTCCTAGACGTCTCAGAATTCTATAGAAGGCTGCTCTTCCTTTTGTTTTAAAATTGATAACTATATTGGACATTAAAAAGGAGGTATAAAACATATGCTTCCCAGAACCACACAGAGCACAGCTAGAGAACAGGGTCAACACCCTGGAAGTCCATATCTGCTCCTCCCTGAGGACATCCTCTCCCAGAAGTACCTGCTCTCCTGGTACTGCATCATCATCCCCTTGACTGTATAGTTGTACAGTTTATTTAGATGTCTTTAAAGAAATGCAGTATTAGTCAATTGGTCCAGTTTTTGACCTTTTTCTTAAAGTTGTTCTGAATTCTTCTGTGTCTTGAGTCTTCGTTCAATACTGTGCTTGTGAAATTTATTGACGCTGATGCATATAGTTTTAATTCGTTTATTTTCACTGTTGTATAGTATTTCATTGTAAGACTATGCTAGTTTATTCATTCAATCCATTGTTAATGGACTTTTGGGTTATGCCAAGTTGTGTTTTGGCTTGTTTATTTTTATAAACATACTATGTATATAGTATGGGTGTGTTTTTTTAATACAGTATAAAAAAATATTATCTTATTTTTTGCTTTCAATTTGTCCCAAGTCATCTAAGTTTACCTTTCTCTATTTTCTTGCCTTCTTTTAGATTGATTTTTTTTCTCATTCTACTTTTCCCCCTTCACTAGTTTGAAAATTATATACTATATTCTCCCAAGGGTACATAGACATTTAAAGATGATATTTAAGAAAATATAATGTTAACCAATATCTTTACCCTGCTCTTAATTTATATACTATTCTTTTTAATCCTGCTTTTGAACTGCAGAAGATATTTTACTTAGTAATTTAACTTGTCTAGATATACCTAGATGTTCCGTTCTTTTTGTATTCTACATTCCTATCTCTGACCTCTTCTTTCTTTCTGTGTCATACATATTTACTATTTAATTTAGTAAGCATGACCTGTGGCAAACATTCTTAATTTTTGTTTACCTGAAAATGCCTCTATATTGCTCTTATTCTTAAAGATAGTTTCTTCTAATTAAATAATTCTATGTTGAATTATTTTCTTTCAGTCTACTGAAAATATTCTGTTTTCAGCTTGGCTTCTCATCAGTGACAAAGAATCAGTCTTCATTGTTTTGGTGATCACCTTTTTCATGGAAGTTTTTTAAAAAATATATACTTTTATTGATTTCAGAGAGGGAGAGAAACATCAATGATGAGAGAGAATCATTGATCGGCTACCTCCTGCACACCCCCCACTGGGGATCAAGTCCACAACCCGGGCATATGCCCTTGACCGAATCGAACCCTGGGCCCTTCAGTCCGCAGGCTGACACTCTATCCACTGAGCCAAATAGGCCAGGGCTTCACTGAAGCTTTTGAGACCTTCTCTCCACCATTGGTGTTTTGCAGATTCATCTTGGAGTTCCTGTGTGTGGATTCTTTTCATTTATACTTTCAGGGATTCATAAGGAATTTTCACGAATTACTTCTAAAATATGGCCTTAGCTGCATTCTTTCTCCTGGAATTCCAACCAGATTTATGGTAGGGCTTCCTATTTTATTCTCCTGTTTCTTTTCTTTCATAAAACTTAAAAAGGCGATCATTCACATTTGTTTAGATATTTCTCTTGCCTCACCCTTGTGCTTGCCTGATGGAGGTGAAACTGCTATGAACATTGTGTCAAGTCTTGGCATGGATGTTCCACAGAAGATCCTGTGCTTGGTCTGCATTTTGAG